ACAAAACTTGGAGAACTTTGCAAAACTTCAGAGAAAATACTTTTGTTATGCTTAAAGATTGACAACCTGCACGATGGATGAAAGACACTGGTGGATCGCTGGTAAAATCCAAGAAAGTTTTAAAATCGGCGGCTATGACAACCCGACGTTGTTGGAGGATTTTATGTGTGAAGAATCAACGCTCAACAAAATAAATAAGTTTCTGAGAGCTGGTGGACCATGTAGACTGTTTCTATTTTGCGAAAGACCAGAAACAGGCGTGTTGTCAACAAGAGAATTACATGTGACAGGAAATCTTGCATCTTTGAAAGATGTTGATCTCGACGGTGTCACTATTTTGTATTTCTTACGAAACAGCACCGACAAAGATGTCGATGCAACTCATATGGAGAGAGACATATTTTGTGGAGAACTCAAACACAATGCCATCGAAACTCTTGGCTCTCTGCTGTCAGATATCTACATTCCCTTGGTCAAAGCACAAAAAGACTGGGGCCAAACTACAGAGGAAAATCAATCAGGACTTGTTCATAGTATGGACAAGTTTGTGACAGCCTTGAATGAGACGGCAGCATCAATGCACACATCAAAACAATGGGTATGAAATATTTAAGTTAGTTTATATTTTCAAGGCACACTTATACGAAAAATTTCCAGAGAGTTTGTAATGTTGGTGAAGTCATATAAAACTGAATGTGAAAATGTGAGTGTGAAATTGTCAAGTTTGTCTGTCCTCATTAACATGTCTAAGGTGCCACAATTCATTGTGCAGAGTTGTGTCCCCCTAGGCACACCAGAATCCTATAATCATGGTTCAACATCCCAGATGACCCTCATTTTGTTTTTTTGTGGGTGGGGTAGCCTAGTGGTTAAACCATTGGCTCGTCACGCCGAATCCCCACATGGGTACAATGTGGGGTACAATTTCAGGTGTCCCCCGCCGTGATGTTGCTGAAATATTGCTAAAAGCAGCGTAAAACTAAACTCAGTCAGTCATTTTGTGTTTAGGTTTATCAGCACCTTACCTTAGCTGGTGAGTTTCAGTATAGTAGTAAATGTAGGAGACATGCATCATTTTGGGCTTTTTCCTGCTTTAACATGTTTAAGCAGATGTGGTATGATATAACAGGAGTACTGATATTCAATGCATCATTAAACTAAAATTCCTCACTCACTCATTGTTTCATTTCATTGTCATTTTTCTTTTCTTTTTCAGATGTTGAAACAGCCCGAAAATGTTGTACTTAATGACTTCAAACAACAGAGAGCAGCTGCACTTGACCCCATCATAATTGGTCAGTATGAGGAACTGGTCAATGAATGGATGACCACCATTGAGGCAATTTTGACAGACACATCTGATGAAAGGTTTGTTCTGATAATTGCATCAAGTGTATATTCATATGAACATTATCACTTCATCATGTGCTTATGCTAGACAAAGATGTGTGGTTTATACTGTCAAGGTATTCATAGCAGCACTATTGGCTACCAATCAATTTTTAGGACATTTTGCAATAGTTTTGGATGCTCTTTTAGGAATTCAATTTCAAGACTGTATTTACACTTCTGCTAAATTTCATTAAACTGTTTTTGTCCGTCTTTTTTAAACATGTATTTGAACTCAATGTATTTACTATTTTCATTGTACTGTCATTGTACCACTGTTAATGTGACATCATGGCACACCGTGTCATTGTTTGTGAACCTCACAATTTGACATCTTCATAAAGTTGTGTCACAATATTATCTGTAACTGTAATCTCCTCTCCCTGAAGATAAAGGTGAAATGTGTAGGAAGGAAATTTGTTTTGTCTCTATTTTGTGATTTTCTGTTGATTTTTAAACACTCCAGGTAAATATATGGATTTAGATATTTTGATATGGTAGTCTCAGGTGGTCAATCTTGCTGACTTGGTGACAGATGTCATCATATCCCAATTGCGTAGATTGATGCTCATGATGTTGATCACAGGATTGTCTGGTCCAGACTTGATTATTTACAAGCTGCTGCCATATAGCTGAGTGCGGCATTAAACAACAAACCAACCAACCAAAAATCAGGTTATGAATGATGAGAATACATAAAACATGTGTTTCTTCATCTGATTCTTACATGTACTCTTGTTATAAAGACATGGTTTTTTATCTTTGAGATTTTGAACAATCAGATTGAATAAAATTTCTTCTTCCTCAGGTTCCTGGACCCCAATGCTGGCCCTATGTCCGAGCTCGAGCGCTGGAAGCGACGACAGCGACTGTTGACCAGTGTGACTGAACAGCTCAAGAGCAAGGAATGTAAGGCTGTTATTGGGGTTCTCATCACCGCCAAGTCAAGGCTGCTCAAAAAGTGGAAAACAGTTGATGCAAGGTGAGACAGCTTTTTTATTAGTGTTTCCAGAGAACCATTTCCAGACACACTACTGGTGAAACTTTGCATGTATCTTGCTTCTTATGATGTTATATTTGCTAACATTTTTAGGTCTTAAGTGGGAGTTGTCAGTCCCCAGTATTTATTCAGCACATTGCTGAGTGCAGCACATTTGAGAGGCTGAGTTTTTCAGCTACACATGCACGTGAGCTACATTACCATGGCACTGTTCCTAAATTTTTGACAGAATGTAATTTTAATGCTGATGCTGATGCTGGAAGTGGAAAGTGTTTTTGTTCTCCTACGCATAAATGGATATATAATACAGATTAAGAACTTGTTAAAGGGATTAATATGATGCACAAACTTTACCTGAAACTTATTTCTTAACTTTCTTAGGTCTTTGTGTTTGACCAGAGTGATAGCCGGTGACATCTATGACTTGCTTTTAGTTTAATGTGTCCTTTCACATTAGGCTGACACATGTTATGATATACATAATGAAATAATTATGATGATGTCACTCTATTCTTCTTGCATTTGATTCTGAGCCAGAAGTTCACTGGCCATGTTGAACATGCAATTGTACTAGTAAATCTGACACAACTATAGCTAACCATACAAATATATGGTCATTTTTCCTTATCCTGACTCATGCTTATTTGCTTTCTCATCCTCTCTTCGAACGGTCAAGTGGAAACTTGAATCCCTTCAATTACCTTGAAGCGAACGTACAATCACTCACCCTGAATTACCTCCCTTTTCCCGCCAAAACCGGCACCTGACCTCTCAATGCCTTGATCCTCACTCTCTCCTCTATCGCCCAAGTGGCGTCAGCGATGTCGACAGACGAGTCAGTTGCAGTCATCCCACAGCAGCGTTCGATTACGAACGCAGAGGTCCTCAACGCTGAAGATTTTGATTCAGGCCATGGAGATGAGGCTAGAGTGGGAGAAGAAGCAGACGGCTCTTGAGAGCAGCGTTGTAGCAGGCGAGATGACGGAAGACCGGTCCTTTACTACGTCGTCAGCAGTCAACGTAGACATCTCTCATCAAGGTCTAGCAGTTGAGCGGGGGGCAACCTACGGAAGATGATGACTTCGTCTTCACTGATGCAGAGGTGCTGGCATGGGTGGCTGATGGTCTCCCGATATCGTCTCCGTCCAGAGACTCCAATCCGTCCGAGACGTACTGCATGAAGGAAGATGACTTAGAGTCGATCACCATCCCGCCGATGAAGCCCATTGCCCAGGTAGCAGACAGCCTGAAAGCAGCCTTTGAGAAGACTTCGAAGACACAAGGGCAGCATACTCCGCAGTTCAACGCACGATGGTTCTGGCATCACAGCATTGACCACTTTGGCAAGACGCCTGAGATTGATGAAGATTTCTACCTGGTCTCAGACTCGAAGACTCGCAGCTACAAGGTGGAAGATAAGAAGTTGGTGCAGCTTGATACGACAACCCGCAGGGCGTTCTATGGGTTAGCGAGGTCCAGAGCCATCAACGAAGCGCTGATGTGTGCTTTCAAGAATCCTAAGACAGAGGAAGAAAGGATGATCTGGTCTACACTAGTTACACAGCGCAAGGATCAGGAGTTTATCTCCGATCACTTGGCCTCTATGTCGGCGGGCATCACACGACTACATCGCCAGGGGTTGCTGAGTTCCTCTACATGGCAAGATGTCTACACCAAGCCTTTACTACGGAAACCTTGGGCAGCGCCTATACCGTTTGATGGCGGCATCCGTCAGTTGTCGCGTGAAGTATCTCAAAACTCCAAAGACTTGATGTTAATCAAGTCCGTCCAATCGATGAACACCATGGTGCGTCAATCAACTCAGCGAAGTCAACTATGATCCCGCTTCTCGGGTATACAGAGGTCCAAAGAGAAGAAGTTCCCAGCTACACGTGGCGGCAACTCGGGATCTTTTCGCCGTCCAACCGGGAGGTCCCGTTATTGAAGAGCAGGTTCGGAACGACTGGTGTCTTCCATCCCCAGCTGTTCCTGTACAACCGTTAACCGCGGGTGGATGGTTGGGTCTATACTGGGAGAATTGGAGAGTACTACAGGACGATTACGTCACAGAAGTGTTACGAAATGGCTACAGTATCCAGTTGCAGTCGACGCTGCCGTTGACCAACAACCCATTGGTTTTCAAGTTTCCTCAGCTACAGCGAGACAAGCTCACCGAGGCTATCGAGATGTTATTGTCGAAAGGTGCTGTAGAGGTCGCCGATCAACGCAGACTCACGCCCGGGTATTACTCTCCAATTTTCCTAGTACCCAAGAAGAAGTCCAAAGAGAAGTTCCGACTCATCTTCAATATGAAGAGCTTCAACAGAGACTACCTGTTGAGACCAGAAAAGTTCAAGATGCTACATCTACCTCAGCTGAGACATCTTATCCGACCCAACGACTTCATGGCCAGTAGAGATCTGCAAGATGCCTACCTACACATCCCGATGCACCCACCCGAAGTACCTGCGATTCCTGTTTGAAGGGGATCATTACCAGTGGAAGGTCCTGCCCTTTGGAATTTCGTCAGCCCCGTGGTTATTTACGCGAATAACCAAACCGATTGTCGCTTATCTCCATCAGAGGGGGCTACGCAGTGCTTTCTACTTAGATGACGGCATCCAGGCACATCAAGATGCAGTTTACGATCAACCTGCTGGCACAGTTGGGCTGGCTGGTGAATCATCAGAAGTCGGAGCTGGAGCCGACCCAAGATCTACAGTTCCTGGGCATCAGATTCCTGACGCTAGAGAATCGCATCCTGGTGCCCGACGACAGATGGCAGAGCATCCAGTCGTGCATACCAGATGCCCTCAACTCTCCACTAGACTTAAGAACGTGGCAGCAACTCTTGGGTCTACTGACGTCAGCACAGGCTCTCACACGCAAAGGAAGATTGCAACTTCGACCGCTACAGAGGTTCCTGATAGCTCATGTAGACGATGTCCAGAAATTTGCCATCCCACAACATCTAAAGCAGTACCTGCTTTGGTGGACAGTAAGATCGAATGTTTGCGGCGGAACCTGTTTGAGAGAGCCAGATTACGACCTTCATCTCTACGTGGATGCGTCACTCCAAGGCTGGGGGGCACATCTCAACGACGAGGTTGCACATCAACCAGCTAGAACTGAAAGCAGTAATAGAAGCAGTTCTACATTGGGAGACGCAGTTAAAAGATCAGGTCCTGATGATACACACAGACAACTCCACGGTGGACTTTTACATAAACCTGCAAGGGTCCACAAGATCAGCGCCACTGCTTCAACTGACGTTCCAGCTGTTCGACATCGCAGACGAAATCAACCTGAAGATGAGGGCTTGCCACATCCCAGGGGCGAAGAACGTCCAAGCCAACGCCCTATCCAGACCAGTACAGCCATCTCCCACAGAGTGGAAGTTACATCCAGAGGCGTTCCAGTGGGTAACAACATAACTAGGCCGTCCCCTCATCGACCTGTTTGCAACCCGTTTCAACCATCAGGTGACAACGTTTGTCTTTCGCCAGTGCCGGACCCGCTGGCATGGGCTGTCGACGCCTTAGCCATATCCTGGGAAGGAATGAAGACTTACGCCTTCCTTCCACCGATCCTGCTACTACAAGTACTACGCAAGATCAACCAGACGAGGGTGCTACAACTGATTTTGGTAGCGCCTTATTGGCCAGCAAGACTATTGTTCCCAAACCTCATAGATCATCACAGCGAACCAGTACTACGATTACCAGACTGGCCGAACCTGCTCATCCATCCTCACACCCAGCAGCGTCACGGCAACCCAGAAACGTTCCAGTTACACGTATGGAGCATATCACGTACTGCTTGAAGAATCGAGGATACTCCACTAGAGCAGCCAAGGCAGTTACCTTGGCTCTACGAAGATCTACACGTAACCCGTATGATGACAAGTGGAGAAGCTTTGACCAGTATGCTGTTCGACAGGGGTTCACGGCCAGGAAGGTGACACACCCACAAGTAGCAGACTACTTGTGTCTGAGGTCCACTAGACATCTGAAGGGCTCTACATTGTCTACACACCTTGCGGCAATCAGCTCTGTCATCACCATGAAGACAGGCGTGAAGTTGACCAAGGTGCCTGAACTAGTGGCCCTGCTGAGATCAAGTTAGAAGATCAACAACAGAAGTTCAGAGCACCAGCATGGGACCTCAAGATAGTGTTGCAGCACTTAATCAGTGATGTATATGAGCCGCTGACGCAGACGACATTTGAGTTATTAACTCAAAAGATAATATTCCTCCTCGCCTTGGCTACTGCTTCTTTGATGTCAGAAATCCACGCCCTTGACTTCAGCCGTACGAGATTGGACGCGGGAAGAAGGAAGGCAGTCCATCTAGGCCTTAGATGGGACTTTATAGTCAAGAACCAGCTACAGGGCCAACCGGATCGTCAGTTCTAGGTTCCGGCTTTAACCATCCTGGGTCCAGAAGACACTCAAGATTTATCCTTATGCCCGGTCAGAGCGCTGAGAATCTACGAGAAGAAGGAAGTTCAAGCGTCTATTCATCCCGCTATCAACCGCGACGACTGTAGAAGTCTCCTGTACAACGATCTCCTTCTGGATCAGAGCGGTGATCCTAAGAGCCTATAAAGCAGCAGGGTTAGAGCCTCCAAGAGCATCAAACCCACATGAAGTTAGAGCATTGGCCACGACACTCGCCCTACATGGAAACTGCTCTATATCATCTATAATGGAAGGCTGCTTTTGGAAGGCAGACACTGTCTTCGCTAATCACTACCTGAGAGACATCTCGACGGAAGACATATCAGGGATACATCAGTTCGGCCCTCTAGTCGTGCGCAGCAACTCACTATGCCGGCCAGACGATGAAGAAACTCACCCTTGTCATGCAGACTCGTTGACGCCAGGCAACAGTCCATTGCCCCCGGCTGAGAGTCCATGTTCCCCTGACTTACGAGATAAGACAGCGCATGAGTGATACATAGACTCAGTTATGGTAATTTTCTTGCCTTAACAGATGCGCAACGATTCCAGTTTCTGTAAAGTTCTTACTGTAACATATTGGGTCGTTGCAGATATCTAGACAACCAGGCGTCTAGTATACTAAATCCACAAAACTTAGAGTTTACTTCTAATACGAATGTATATGAAGGTGGTCCCCCAACAAGCATCAACAAATATTGATGTTAGCCGCAGAAGAAGAAACTTATATATCAAGCGAACGCTGACGTGAATACAATAATGCAGGGAATCCTGTGGTTGACCCACCACCTATTCCGTCGGATTCAGGAAGCAAATAAGCATGAGTCAGGATAAGGAAAAAAATGTAATTTTTATGATAAAATTTATATTTTATACTTATCCTGTCTCATGAGATGAAGCCCTACCAACCGTCCCCTCTCACCACATGGTTTCCCTGTAGACCTGCGTGGGGCTTATATCGGAGAGAGTGAGGATCAAGGCATGGAGAGGTCACGTGCCGGTTTTGGCGGGAAAAGGGAGGTAATTCAGGTTGAGTGATTGTACGTTTGCTTCAAGGGAATTGAAGGGATTCAAGTTTCCACTTGACCGTTCGGAAGAGAGGATGAGAAAGCAAATAAGCATGAGTCAGGATAAGTATAAAATATTAATTTTATCATTAAAATTACATATTATATGAAAACCATAGCATGGATTAAATGGGTGGAATCATTTGATTCTGTTGATTCCAGAAACACTGTCAATTTTGAAGCTCACTGATTGTACTTCTGGAATCATTACATTCTCATGATTCCCCATTAAAGCTGGTCTATGATTATCCTAAAGCCAGCTCACTTACGTCGTATTTATACATTCGACTGTTCCTTCTTAATGTATCGCGTGGTCAGGCTTGCTGACATGGTTGACACACGTCATCAGTTCCCAATTGCACAGGTCAATGCTCATGCTGTTGATCACTGGATTGTTTGGTCCAGACTCGATTATTTACAGACTGCCTCCATATAGCTGGAATATTGCTGAGTGCAGCGTAAAAACTAAACTCACTCACTCCTTAATGTTGATGTTACTCATGGATTTATCCCTTACAGTATCACAGATGCAATGAATGACACCAAAGACAAAGTAAAATACCTCGACTCCCTTCGCCGATACTTTGATCAGCTCTACACCGAAGCCACCCCCCATTCCATAATGAACTCTGCCATACCAGGGCTGACCAATGGCATCAAACAGATGGACTCGATCTCCAGATACTATGGGAGGACAGGCTTTCTTGGTGTCATCCTCACGAAGGTAATTGTTGTATAATGTTTTGGGACAGGTCATTTACTATGGGGTGTGAGGTAGGGGTGGGTATTGCAGAGAATTTTCATATTGCGATGCGAAAGCATGTATTGCGATATGTATTGCAATATATTGCATGAAGTATTTTTAAACAAAAAACTACTTATAATTGAGTTAATGCTTGATTTATAGAGCAAAATACAGCAAAATCTTTTTATCATGATAAAATAAAAATGTGAATAATATTTGGCACAAATGAAACAAGGAAATATCCGAAGATTTCCGAGTGTTACGAAGTTTTCCGAATGCAAGTCAAAATACCGCTTTTTCTATCAGCGTATCGCAATACGTATCGTTTTCATGTCTGAACCGGTAAATACCGGTAAACCGGTTATATTGCGCAGCCCAAGTGTGAGGGTAGAGGTGGGGTTTTGGGGTTTAAGGTTTTGGTTACATATTTTCATCCCATCCCTCGTCATGATAAGTGCAAAAGAGGCGACTTATGGGATTGGGTGGCCAGGCTCGCTGACTTGGTTGACACGTCATCGTGCCCCAATTGCATAGATCAATGCTCATGCCGCTGATCACTGGATTGTCTGGTCCAGACTCGATTATTTACAGACCTGAGCCATATAGCTGAGTGCGGCGTTAAACAACAAACCACACCAAACCAATCATGACTAGTGTCCAGTCCCTAAAAGATATTGAAATTTATGGGCCTTTTTATTCGGAAAATTCAATGAAATTTTGGACAAGGGAAATGTACAAGTAATTATGTTTGTTTAGTCTCAAAGAAATATTAGTACGTCTTAAGCAGAATTAGAGAAAGAGCTAGATAGCAATGTCTTTTAATTTCCATATTGTAATGTATCAGTGTACTGTATCGTACTATTCATCAGGTGACAAACCAGCTTGTCCTGGCCTGCAAGGAGCACATCAAGGGCTGCACCATCAACATGCTGGACGATACTGATGACCTGTGGCGTCGAGTGACCGATGAGGTCCAGCAGAGAGACACACTGCCCACTACAGACCCCCAGCAGAGACTTCTCCGTAGTCAGGTGGAGTCCAAACTCAGGGTGAGTTCAAGCTGCTAATGGGGTAGGCTAGTACTGAATATATATATAAACCCAGCTACATTGATGTTGCTGATGAGGTTTCAAGCATATAGTCCTCTTCATATCTGGTTATATGCATAATGTCTGAAACTGCTTTTTTCTGTAGGCACCCCGTGGGAAGAACAAAGAGCTGAAGGACATTGGTGTGCAGGACAGTAGCTTGTTTGGACGTCTCCGGGCCTGTTTGATGCTGCAGAGCTTCTATAGAGAGGCTTTCCGCTCACTGCGGGACTCGCTCGGAACTACCAACAACCTGTCTCACTTCTCATCTGTCAGTAGTTTTGCTCAAGTCACAAGTCTCGTGGCCAGGTAGGCATGACTTTCCTCACCAGTTTGCAGAGCTCCAGATAAGATTTAGCTCATGTGGGTACTGTACCCACTGTATTTTTTTGGAGTGGGTATTATGAATGTTGAGTGGGTATTTCATTTTCCGTTACCCACTGCTTTCAAATATGTGCGTATTTCAGTCACTTTACTCACCTAAGTATTATGTCATTGAGTAAGTTTACTAAGCAGGTATGTTCTGCCTTATGTCATACCTAATCAAAACCAACTTAAATATAATGGACATGATTTCATAAAAACTCACTCATCCTGTACTGACAGTACAACACTAGTCCTATACTAACAGTACAACTTGATAGCAATCCATGCCTTTTTCATTACGCAAGCGATTTTTATAAATATATTCCATACGCATTTGTTTTAAACTTTTTGCGTATCTAACATTTTTAATGCGTAATTGGTACGCAACAATTATTTTTCAATGCGTAATTCTATGCGTATTTTACCCAGATACGCAGCTTATCTGGGCCTCTGAGTTTGTCTTGAGAGAGATAGAATAGGCTAAAGTGTTGGTGCATTTGAGCCATCCTTTGTGCTGGTCAGTGATTGTGGAGATGATTGTTGATATCAGTATTGAGGGACCAGTATTATAGACGCCTGTGTTTGGAAATGGTGAAGTCAGCTTGTTTAGGAGTAACTTTAATAAGGAATTGGTTCAGTTAAAAGGCAAACTGCTACACTGTTACAGTATACCCTGGTTATAATGCCACTGTTTGTCCAGGAGAAACTATGGCATTATATCCAGGGTGGCATTATAACCAGGTAGGTAAGTTGGAGGCCCTATGCAGTCAATAAGGTGACAGAGCTCATGGTTCTTGTAATGAGCCTTGAATGAATAGATAAACCCAGTGTCTAAGGGCTATAGGTGACTTGTTGTGGGTAGCAGGAAGTGTATTGTCACATGTGTTATCCTATCTGGGATTACATGACTACTTAAAGCATTAACGAGTTTGGTCAATTAATTTGAGTCGTGTCAGTTAACCAATATTAATGTTTGTATAACACATGTAGCCAGTGTAATTTGCATCATAACTAGGGGAAAATGACTTTTGTTCCAAAACCATTGGCAAATGGCATTATATCCAGTTTGGCATTATAACCAGGGTATTATAAAGGCAGGAAATCTGTTCTGGCAAAAACATGGAAATTATCCAGGGGCATCATAACCAGATAATCTTCTGGTTTGGGTTATTACATGTTCAGTGTTTGCAAATCGTATCTGACCCTCTGACAAATCCTGCAGATCCGACAACGGTCCGATAGAAATCTACAACCCACTGGCCGCAGCATCCTACCGAATATTTCACAATGACTTTGACTGAAGTTGTTATATGTGACATGTGACTGTTGTTTGCTGTTTATTTTATCTTAATTTTTCTTATGTTTGTTAATAATTTCAATGCCAATTATAAGAAATGTT